GGCCCAGATGTAGGACCTTGCACGTCAAGGTCCTACTTACATTTACTTTTACACTTACATTTATATTCAAGTAGAAACTCTTTTCATGATCTTGACCATCTGTAACTGTGAACATTTGTACCATTTCTTTGTGTTCTTAAACCTTCTGCCACAGTGGTATTTTCTGCTCATTTATTTATGTGATGCTGTTGACCACTGTTTTCCACCACATACGTCACTGGAAATGTTTGTGTGTTCTTCATTCTGCACTTCTTGTCAGATGTAACGGAATTTAAATGGAGACTGTGAGAATGTTCACCCCAGACAAAAACATTGTCAATAATTCATACACATTTTCTACTTGGCTTTAAGGAATTGTGAAGCAAATTCCAAATGGTTAAACTTTATTTATGGCTGGTTAAGGAATAAAACCCAAATCTTTTGGGTGAATATAAAATGCTTTGAAGCCTTTTGGCTCCATTCAGCCGTGAGTAGAGTTTTAGAAGCTTCAAAGATTACCTAAAATAACCGTACTCATTTTATTCATCTCATCAGCAAAGTCCATCTCATCAGCCAGTGAGATTCCAGCAAAACTTTTAGGCTCCAAAATGGACTTTCCCTGTGAAATTGCTGTGTGTGGTACTTACAGAGACTGTAAAGTACAGGATGACACATGAGTGATGTGTCTTTTTAGGTAAGAAAACTTGGAATTTCTGTTTACTGAGGGGAAAAGGGATTAGATCCCCATGAAGGATTCAGTTCTCTCTGCTCTAGTGAGGCCCACCTGGAGTGCTGCACACAGCTCTGGTGTCCCAACATCAGAGGGACACGGAACTGTTGGAGCAAGTCCAGAGGAGGCCACAAAACTGCTCAGAGCACTGGAGCACCTTCCCTACGAGGACAGGCTGAGAGAGTTGGGGTTGTTCAGCCTGGAGAAGAGAAGGCTGTATGGAGACCTCAGAGCAACCTGCCAGGATCTAAAAGATCTCCAGGGAAGCTTCAGAGGGACTCTTGGTTAGAAGCTGCAGTGACAGGACAAGGAGTAATGGGGATAAATTGTAAGATGGAAATTTAGGTTAGAGCTGAGGCAGAATTTTTGCTGTGAGGGTGGTGAGACACTGGCACAGGTTGCCCAGGGAGGCAGTGGCTGGCCCAACCATGGCAGTGTTCAAGGCCAGGTTGGATGAAGCCTTGAGCAACTTGTTCTGGTGGGAGGTGTCCCTGCCCAGGGCAGGGGGTTGGGGCTGGGTGATCTCTGATGTCCATTCCAGCCCCTTAAGATTCTGTGATCTGCCTTTGTATGCAGATCTAAACCAGCCACAGAGTAGTCATTTTACCCTTATATACAGAGAACAGACTGTGTTCAGACAGGTTTCTTCCTGGACCAATAGTATTTGATCCATGAACAGGTAGTCTTGCTATTTCCAGAAGTGTCTTTTAGGGCTAAGTAAGGTAGGGACTAAGCAACAGGCAAGGCTGTAATATCTTATGAAACATTAATGCCTGAGATGTTGATTCCAGGAGGTTGCTCTGAGAGGGTTTTGGAAGTTTTAATGTAGTTTCAGTTCTCTGTACAGACTCTTTACAGACAAGGAGTAATGGGGATAAATTGTAAGATGGAAATTTAGGTTAGAGCTGAGGCAGAATTTTTGCTGTGAGGGTGGTGAGACACTGGCACAGGTTGCCCAGGGAGGCAGTGGCTGGCCCAACCATGGCAGTGTTCAAGGCCAGGTTGGATGAAGCCTTGAGCAACTTGTTCTGGTGGGAGGTGTCCCTGCCCAGGGCAGGGGGTTGGGGCTGGGTGATCTCTGATGTCCATTCCAGCCCCTTAAGATTCTGTGATCTGCCTTTGTATGCAGATCTAAACCAGCCACAGAGTAGTCATTTTACCCTTATATACAGAGAACAGACTGTGTTCAGACAGGTTTCTTCCTGGACCAATAGTATTTGATCCATGAACAGGTAGTCTTGCTATTTCCAGAAGTGTCTTTTAGGGCTAAGTAAGGTAGGGACTAAGCAACAGGCAAGGCTGTAATATCTTATGAAACATTAATGCCTGAGATGTTGATTCCAGGAGGTTGCTCTGAGAGGGTTTTGGAAGTTTTAATGTAGTTTCAGTTCTCTGTACAGACTCTTTCTATTCCCCACCCCTACACACATGAAAGCCAATCTGTAGCTGGTTTGGTTTTGGTTTCCTTTTCCCACAGGCTCCTGATGGTCTTCATTCTGCTATTCTCACTGAAGCATTGATAACATATGGAAGAAATTTATATTTTCCTCAAGAAATATGTATTTTTTACCCTGTATTTCACATCTAAATAGTGCTATGACTTGTGAGGAGGAAAGGAACTTGCCTTCTTAGTCTGTTGCGCATGTACGTGGTAAGTGGGTGTCGTATAACTTTACTTGGCCTGTGCAGCAATCATTGTTCCTACTGGCATCTTGTCTTTAATGTCCCTTCACACACAGTTTTTAAAACCAAGTTAACACAGAGAACACTTTTTTTAAACTTTCACTTTCAGTGATTTAGGTATCTTAAATATCTAGCAGGTCAAAAGGGGTGATTCTTTCTCTCTACTGTGAGACCTACTTGGAATACTGCACACACCATGTCCTCAACAGAAGAAGGACATGGAACTGTTGGAGCAAGTTCAGAGGAGGCCAGAAAGTTGCTAAGAGGACTGGAGGATTTCTCCTATGAGGACAGGCTGAGGGAGTTGAAGCTTTCAGCCTGGAGAACAGAAGGTTGTGTGGAGACCTCAGAGTAACTTTTCCGTATCTGAAGGGCCTACAAGGGAGCCAGAGAGGGACTCTGTGTTAGGAACTGCAGTGACAGGACAAGGGTAATGTGTTCAAACTGAAGAAGGGAAAGTCTAGGTTGGATGTGAGAAAGAAGTTTTTCCCTGTGAGGGTGGTGAGACATTGGCACAGGTTGCCCAGGGACGTGGTGGCTGCCCCAACACTGGCGATGTTCAAGACCAGGCTGGATGAGGCCTTGAGGAACCTGATCTAGTGAGGAGGTGTCCTTGCCCATGGCAAGGGGTTGGGACTGGATGATCTGTAAGGTCCATTCCAACCCCTAAATTCTATGATTCCAAATAAGGTACCTAAAGCTAAGGTTTAGCTAAGGTTTCCAATAAGCTAAAATCAACCATTCCTGCAGCCTTCTAGATCTCCCCAGAGAACTTCTGTTGCATGATTATCTGTGATTTCCTCATTCAGTGTCCATTAAATATATATGGAATTCCTTATTCTGTCTCTTCCCAAGGTCTGGGCTTTCTCTTTCTGAGCTTCATCCGTGTGTCTCAGCAGCATCTGGTTGTGGAATACACTAAACTTGGGCAAAGTCACATTTATTTGGACTAGAGAAAAAGACCAAAAATATTTTTGATGTTACAGTTTATTGGGTTTTATATTTCTTCATAGGTTGATTCATTGAGTTATCTATGTGAAATCAAAATGCAAAGCAGCTTTAAACTTCTTGTGTGCTCAGAGGATGTTGGTTGCCCTTTTCTGCTCAGTCTTTGGTTTGCTTTGCTTGGACAGAGACAATAAACTGATATTCAGAGTTGCTTGGCTGTAGTCAAGTTGAGCAATGCACACCCAACCTGTGGGGCATGGTGGTTGCTTAGTTCATGCATGTAAATTTGGGGGTTTTGAAAACTGAAACAAGTCCACGCCCACAGTGTCTTCTTGGAAAGTTTGTTCTAGCATTTAACCTTAATGGGCATTATTAATTTAATGGTCCCTTTTTCAGAAACGTTGAGTAGTCACAGTTGTTAGAGAAGTCCAAACCACTGAGTGCTTAGCCCCATTGGAGTATTAATTTTGAAGTGTTATGAAATTCGTGCTGCAGCTGGGGTATATCTTCATGCAATTAGTTCCATCTTTTATGATTTATTTCAAACCTACCATAAACTTTGCTGCTTTACACCTGCAATATACATTAATGGGCAAAGAGAAGTCTCAGTTTCAGAAGTATTATTAGCAAAAACAACCTCTGGCAAAAAGCTTTTAAAGAAAGTAGATCAGAGGATTTTTTTTTTGGTGGATATATATGATTTGTCTTTTGGCAAGGAAAACTGGATTATTTAAGGATACACTTAAAATGGTCTGTACTAAATGCAGTGAGGAGAGATACAGCTGTAGTCCCTGTATTGTGCCAGTTCCTGTGCCATAAAGATGTTGGAGAGCTTTTGCAGCTCAGAAAGACCTCAGTGCTGGAACTTCTTACAGGTAGCTCAGAGCTGATGTAAGTAAGTGTGCAAGATGTCATTGTAGGATTGGACTTTGGAAATTTTTTTGCTGGTGTTGAAAAATTCCTTCAGGAATTCACATGAAAAGGGAGTAGCTGCCATTATTCCTGTGCATTTATTTAGTTTGCGACAATTTCCCTCACTACAAACACAAAAATTGATGTATTACCTTGCTCATGTTTGTTGTTTTAAGGAGCCTTTGGATGATCCTCAGGAATTTGGAGCCTGTGCAACAGAAGAAGTGATTCGCTATGAGTATCATGTCTTGTACTCCAGTAGCTACCAAGTACCTGTGCTGTATTTCAGGGCATGTCTTTTAGGTGAGTATATTAATTATACTGGGTGCAACAGACATTAAACCCACAGATTTTGTATTAAATTGAGGTGCAGATTTGTAGTAGGAAAGTAGGAGATGATGCTGCTCACCAGTAAATTCTGTAACACTCCCAACAGAAGAGCTCCAGGACTGTGGAGTGGATGATATCATCTCTAGCCTGAGGGAGGCTGATCTTTGGCTCTTGGCACCTTGCCTGGGGTTGACTAAAACTGCTGGCCATTTTTCTTGCTCTTCTCTTGAGATGACTGCAAAAACTTAGTGCTGCATGTTTGAGTTTGGCTGCACAGTGCAGGGACAGCATAATCTGCTGAGTTGTGTGTGTGTTTCTCTGGAGCCTGAATTCAAGCCACTGGGCTAAATGTATCTTTAAAAATGAATGCTGTGCTCTGCTTAAATCTGCTGCTTAAGGAGAACTAAACAATACCAGCATGGTATTGACTTTCTGTATTAAAACTGGCTCTTGAAACCGTAACTGATCATCTCACCCCCCTGATATGTACATCTGGTTACCCATTTCTGCTGTAGCCACTGTGATTTCAGTCACCATCCTGTGACAGGAAGGAAGGAGGAACATACAGCCTCCCACTAAGGCCACTGTTCCTGCCACTTATTTAATCAGCAGATACAGAGTGATCCCACTGCAGTGCTGCCTGTGCTTTGTTCCTCCCTGCCCAAACTCTGTGCCTGTCTACCAAGAGCATCCTGGCTTGGACCAGCCACTGTGGCCAGCAGGACCAGGACAGTGATTGTCCCTCTGCGCTGGAGACCTCCAGTCCTGGGGGCAGTTTGGGCTCCTCATGACAAGAAGGACATTGAGGTGCTGCAGTATATCCAGGGAAGGAGATGAAGCTAGGGAAGGTCCTCGAGCACCACGAGGAGCTGAGGGAGCTGTGAGGGCCCAGCCTGGTGAAAAGGAGGCTCAGAGAGGACTTCCCCCCTCTCTACAACTGCCTGAAGGGAGGGTGGGGCCAGGTAGAGCTTGGTCTCCACTCCCAGGTAATAAGCAGTAAGAGCTAGAGGAAATACCCTCAAGTTATACCAGAGGAGGTTTATATTGGATATTAGGGAAAATGTCTTCACTGAAAGGGTTGTCAAATATTGGTAGAGGCTTCCCTGGGTAGTGGCAGAGTTACCTTCTCTGGAGGTGTTTCAAATACATGTGGATGTGGCACTTGGTGGCATGGTTCAGCAATGAACTGTGCTGGGTTAAGGCTTGGACCCAATGATTTCAGAGATTTTTTTCCCAACCTAAATGATTCCATGATCAGCATCTTTTGTGTTTTGAATAATATCTCAACTTCATCTAGATAAAGATGTCTTGAATGTTGCCAGTGATATCTCTTCCTTTTTAATTAAAAAGTAGCTTAAGCTGCTTTGAGTGTGTTTGGTAGATTTAATCACTCTCTGCTTTATATTGTTTAATGATTTCTAATTTTGCAACGTTAGCATTTTAAAAGGCACTGCAGATTCGGAAATCGAAGAACAAATTCTTACAGACTCCCTGGTGGAAAGATTTCAGTCTGAGGTGCAGTTTCAGGAATGTATAATCTGGGGGTAAATTTCCAGGCTCGGACGTGGGGAACTGGGGACATTTCTCTGCCTTTACCACCAACAGAACTCATTTACACACACACCCTGCTTCAGATTCATTTCTGGCATTATTACAGGTGTTTACCAACAGTGCCTTTGCCTTTAAACTTACTGAGCAGACAGAAAGATAAAGCAAGTTTTGCTGTGAGAGACAGGTTAACCTATTTGTGGTCCTGAAAAATGTCATCTTCTGGGTTTTTGCTGAATTAATAGTGCACAGAGTCTCTACAGAAGAGGATGAAGATGCTGCGGGTAGAGGAAGTAGGACACTATCTCTCCTGTACTGTACTTTCATATAATTAGTATTCACCATAAGCAGTTAATCACCAGAGAAGAGCTCACAGAGACAAAACAAGTTGTTTAGCTTGTCAGCATCAGGGAATCGGAGGTGTTGAAACATGACTCCTTATAGCTGGAAGTGGATATTACAGGAGTCAGTGGATGATCTAATGCTCATCCCTGGTATTATGTGCCAACAGCTCCCCTTGCAGTACGGAACAGTAATTGTTCCTGTAAGTACAGTTAGTTTTTAAAGCACTTCTTGGGAGCCCTTCACCGTGGAAAAACAAGGGCTGTTTTTAGATACTTCCCAAACTCACCTGGGTTCTCCTCAGCACATTGCATTCTCTTTCAGCATTGAGCAACGTCTGGCTCTGGCAGAGAGGAGGATACGAAATGCTGGAAATGAGTGTATTTCCGATCAGGTTTTCAGCTAGTATTCTCTGATTTCAATTGTGGATAGCTTGCTTTTGAGAATGAAATGCTCTGTCTTTCCTGCAAGTTGTTTTCCTTTCTGTGCTGCACTGTGTGAAGGTCCCAAAACCACAGGTTGGGCAGTTACTCACAATCACTTGAGATACCTGAACAGAGTATCTTTTGTTTCTGTCCCAAACCTGCTATGAGGAAAACTCTAGGTAATGCCCTGAGATGTTTTTCCTTTGAGGTAATAGTCTCCATGTGACAGGCTCCTCACTTTGTTTCTCAGACAACTAGCAATACTCACTGCATTCCTCACCTGGAACAATCAAGGGAGAATCTTCCAGGGACCAACCTCAATTTCCCAGTCTAAATTCCTGCCATTATTCATAGATTAAGCAACAGAATCCATTCCTCCCAAGTGTCTTGTAAGCTGTTCATGGTTTCCCTTGAATCCTGTCCATACTGATCCTCCTGTTAATTAGAGCTCTGTGGCAGGAGGTGAAGATGAGCTGTACTTCTTCCAGTGTTTCCACAGCCCTGCTCTGTCTTGCCTTCCCCAGCAACAAGGCACAGGGTTTGGATTCAAAGTTCTGCTTCCTCCCTGGCAGACTGTTCCATTACACTGTTCAACCTGAGCAGTTTTACAGTATTAACTTTCTCACTTTGTTGTAACAGCACCTGATGTCCAAATCTGTGCTCCACCAGTATTAGTATCTTTCTTGATACTCATATTAAAGGTTTAGGCAGTGAATGGTTTAAGAACCTTCAGTGCAGTAGTCCAAAATCTCACATATTTCCAAAGATTCAGTGCTCCTGCAAACCTAGTTTGTTAGCTTAAGGCAGTTTTCAAAAGACAGCATGTTTGGTGCCTGACTAACAGGGAAATGGCTCTTAATTAATTAATTAAGCTGTTTTGAACATACTATCTTAGAGAGTTACAAATACCAAATAGATTCTTCGCAACCTTTCCTAGAACAATGAAATCCTGTGTTTTGCTCACTGTGTGTGAAATCGTTTCCATTGATGTGTTGTCTCACAGTCCCTCCTGGGAAAAAGGCTCCTAGTAGAGTTGCTGGCGTGATTTTCCTGTCACCATAGAATCATAAAGGCTGGAGGAGACCTCTAAGATCATTGAGCCCAACCATTAACCTGGCACTGCTGGAACCCCTAAACCCTAAACCACGTCCTCCAGTGCCACAACCAGACACCTCTTAAACACCTCCAAGGATGGTGACTCCACCACCTTCTGGGCAATATTCCCATGAAGAGGTGGTGGGGCTGTGCTGAGCATCATTCCTTGGAAACATCCAAGGTCAGCATTGGAGTGGGCTCTGAGCAACCTGATCTAGATGAATATGTCCCTGCTGATGACTTTGAAAATTTCCTTCCAAGCCAAACCATTCTGTGAGTCCATGATTCCATGATCATGCAGACAGAGTGATCATGTTCAAGTGGCAGAAGGGAGGTGGCAGGAGGTGGAGGATGAGGAGGTGTCAAAGGGCTCTCACCTTTCTCAGATGCTCCCCATGAGCTGCAGTGTGAGCTCACAGCCCAGAAACCAACCCAGGCCTGGGCTGCACCCAAAGGAGTGTGGGCCGCAGGGTCCTGCTGCCACACTCTGCTTGAGCCAGGCCAAGATGCCCTTGGCCTCCTTGGCCACCTGTGCACACTGTTGGCTCCCACTGAGCTGTGCCACCAGCACTGCCAAGACCCTTTGTGCCCAACATCCCCACTCCTCCCCCAGCCTGGAGCTGCATGGGCTGTTGTGTGCCAAGGGCAGGACCGGCACTGAACCTCACTGACCCTCCTGCAGTTGTGCTCAGACCATTGATCAAAGTGGTCCAGGTCTAGAGCTTTCCTACCCTCAGGCATATCAGCTTGGTTGTCATCCTCAGGAGCTTGTGTCAGTGATGGCATCCAGTTTTCACTCCTCTCTGTGAGCACTTATGCTCAAATGTTACAGATCACTTCTTCATGCAGGAGGGAAAAGGTTGCATTGTATTCTTATCCTTTATGCTGTCTAAATTGGATGAAATAACTTATTCTCTATGGATTTCATCTTTAGGCCTCTTTGTTTCATTGAGGCAAAGTTTGGTATCTAAGTTTTATGGGTAAGGTTTGAAATTTTAGTTGCAACAGAAGTAAAACATTTTCAGTGACATCTAAAATTTTTTTGGTAGTCTCTGGGGTAGAATTTGTTCTGTGCGAGGACAAATACTCGAGCTGAAAATAATGATTAAACATGGTGAGTCTGTCTGGGAAGATGTTTGGGAACATTATAGGATACAAGATGATATTTTTAGACTACTTGTATATACATAAGAAATATTTTTCACTACCTCATGATGCTTCCCATGTGGCTAATATTCCTAATTTCAGTCCTCACTGTCTGTGTCAGGAGCTCAGGGTGGTTCTGAGTACCTCAGAGCCTCATTTCTCCAACATCAGCCTTATGTATGCCATACCCTCCAGAAACAGGAGCCTTTCTTTCCTTCTCTGGCCTCTCAGACTACCAAATGGGTGGTTGAAGAAATGCATGAACCCGTGCTGATATCTGATGTCAGCAATTAGCCCTCTTGGAGACAGATGGTATAGGCAATTATCCTTCCCCTTCAATGCTGGCATCAGCCAGATGGGCTGGGCTGGGTCCAGTAAGCTTTCTTTAATCAGCAGAGTATTTTCCTCTTTTCCTAGTCTTTTAGATGTCAAGGAACTTTGGCCTTTTGAACCATCCTCATCTGAAGCCATACGTTAGAAAAACCTCTTGCAATGCATTCAAAAACTGATAGTGAAGTAGCAGCAATATAATCACACGTGAACACAAGCACATTCCTCTGTGTTAGGAAAGCAGTGGCTGGTCTAATATCTCTTATTTTTTCATGCAGAGGTAAGGGAAGCGTCATGAATGCTGGGTAATTACAGAGGAAAGAGCAGGAGTAATGGGAGTCAATAAGGGCTGCAGCCTCACTCCTCTAGAAAAGAGAGAAGGAATGGGGTTTTCAAGTTGACCTGCTCAAAGTAGGTCTGCTTCTGTGACATACAGCTAAATCAGTGGCAATAAAGCCATCCTAATCAGTGGTTAGAGAGAGGCAATGGTTAGAGAGAGGGAGCATCTGAGATAAGGTAACTTCCTCCAACCCTGAAAGCATGACTTTATTCATAACCACACTGAATTCCTTTCCAGGATACAGATTTACTTCCTGAACTCAAGAGCATTTCACCACTGTATCCTTCCTCAGAAAAACAGCTGCTCTTAAGACCATGTCCCACAAGAACTGGTTTTATTGTGGCTTTGGACAAAAGTTAGTTCAAGTAATTTGTATGATCGGATAATCTCTTAAGCTCTAGGTGTGTTTTCTCTCTTTTGCCGATGTTTTCTTAAGGTTGTTTCTTTGTAAGTTCTGTCAGAATGAAGCCTCAGAACAATTTGTGCACCTTTTCACCCGAAGTGCCAAATAACCTTTAATTGGGAGTTGCAGAAGTTATTCAAGGCCTTCAGTAAGGGCCTTGAATACAGAAAACAGAACACATCATCTTGGGAAGCCTGAAAATTGTCTCTGGAAATACATGTGGAATTTGTATGCCTAGAGAATTCCTGGTCTTTGCAAAAGTTAAGGTGCCAGCTGAGAGCTACAACTCATGTGTGGTCTGAATCATAGAATTATTTAGTGTTGAGGGGTTGGAATGGGCCTTAGAGATTATCCAGCCCCAAACCCCTGCCCTGGGCAGGGACACCTCCCACCAGAACAGATTGCTCAAGGCTTCATCCAACCTGGCTTTGAACACTGCCAGGTCTGGGGCAATGCCTCACCTTGGTGCTGTGAAAGGGCACTCAACCTTCTGCTTTTTCACTGTTACCTGTGGTGACATGATCTAGTGAACTCGAAGTGGACCATTAAGAGACTTTTAGCAGACAGGTTTGTTGCAGTCTAAGCAGTTTCTTTAATAGAACTAGTAAAATAAACTAGGTTTACTATCTAATAATAGTTAATTATTTAATAAACTGCTTCAGTTTATAAAATAGGCCATAAATAACAATAACAATCCCAGCCAGAGCTGGGACAAGACTTGGGTCGCACAGCAGCTGTGTCATTGTGGGTAGATGATGAGTAAATGTATTGATGGGTGAATCTGCAGCCTCTGCCTTCCTCTCCTGCCACTTCTCTTGGCTTGGTGCTGCTGTTTCCTTCTCTTTCTGGCTGAACTTTACAAGCTCAGCTCCATCACAGGAAAGAATGAGACACAAAGATGCCAAGAGCCTGCTTTGGCTCAGCGGGTGCTGCAGTGGCCCCTTGTTGCCAGCAGCAACAATTCCTGAGTGCTCTGTCAGACCAGCTGGATAATTGAGGTCTCAGTGGGTTGCAAGAATGTGTTACAGGGATGCTAAACATGTGTGAGTGTTGGCAGACCTGGAAAAAAGGGGTCTGGAAGTGTCCAAGGCACACAGAGCTGTGTTTGAGAGCTCATGAGTACAATAGATTCACCACGACGTAAAGGCAAAGCTAATTTTAAACTATAATACAGTTAATGCTTCAATAATATTTGATCATTTAGCTACATGAGGTTGACAGAGTCAGAGTAATTCATTCCACAGGTACAACCTGAATTTGCACAATTGTCACCATAAAAATTCACAAGGAAAGTTTTACACAACAAAATCTAGAGTGGGGAATCAGATGTTGCATTGGAACATGCAAAGTGCTACACCTGGGACAGGGCAACCCAAGATACACCTATAGGCTGATGGAGAAGTCATTGAGAGCAGCCCTGGGAGAAAGACATGAGGTTGATGGTGATGACAAACTCCCCATGAGCTGCAGGGTGATCTCAGCCCAGAAACCAACCCAGTCCTGGGCTGCAGCCAAAGGAGTGTGGGCAACAGGGCAGGGAGGGGATTCTCCTCCTCTGCTTTGCTCTGGTGAGACCCACCTGGAGTGCTGCACACAGCTCTGGTGTTTCCAACAGCAGATGGACATGGAGCTGTTGGAGCAAGGCCAGAGGAGGTCACAAAGTTGATAAGAGGACTGGAGCACCTCCCCTATGAGGACAGGCTGAGAGAGTTGAGGCTGTTCAGTCTGGACAAGAGAAGGTTGTGTGGAGACCTCAGAGCAACCTACCAGGAGCTGAAGGGGCTCCAGGGAAGCTGCAGAGGGACTCTGTGTTAGTAGCTGAAGGGACAGGACAAGGATTAATGGGTTCAAGTCAGAGGAGAAATTTAGGTTAGATCTTAGGCAGAAGTTTTTCCCTCTGAGGGTGGGAGACACTGGCACAGGTTTTCCAGGGAGGCTGTGGGTGCCCCAACCCTGGCAGTGTTCAAAGCCAGGTTGGATGAAGCCTTGAGCAACCTGTTCTGGTGGGAGGTGTCTCTGCCCAGGGCAGGGGGCTGGGGTTGGGTGATCTCTAAGCTACATCCCAACCCCTTAACATTCTGTGAACTATGAATATGTGTTATTCTACGTTTTATGTTTGTACTTTCCCTCTCTGAGGGTAGTAAACAAAGCTGCAGGTCTTCATGACATCTCATATTACCTGCACACAGGTGATCTGAGCATAAACATACCCTTTTAAAGTTAATTTATGGTGTCATTGTGTATTTCGTAGTCAATATTAGACCGTCTCCAGCACAGCTCTGGTATCTGTCCTCACAAGACAGTGGACAAGATGTGGTCTAACAAGTCTCAGGTTCATGGGGATGGCATGGAATACAGTTAATATGCTTACTCAGATACTTAATTTGCCACACGACTCTGCTGTGTGATGCTTGTATAAGATCAGAACTTGATCCTTTATGCAGAAAATAAAACAAAGCAGAGGCTGTAGGCAGCTGGTTTGAACCTATATCTAAACATGGCATTCAAATGTTAATTGTATGAATAAATCTTCTTTCCATTTTGCAGACATGAAAATGTCAGTGGAATAAAACTATTTGTCAGAGGATTAATGGTTTCTGACACCTGATAAATGCCAAGATGAAGCTGCTTATTGAAAGTGTATCGAAATACTCTATTGCTGTTTGCCAGAAACAAATATTCAGGGGGAAAAAATTGACATGCTTGTTTTCCAAGTGATTGACTCTAATATTTTGGCAAAAATTTCAGCATCACATGTCAAAACCGGATGCAAGAAGGCTAGATAAATGCAGCTCAAGAAGAAATTAGGGGCATGTGGGTTACTAAAATGCAGCAAACCATTACCTGCAGAACTTTGTTCCTTAGATTTTGTCCATTTTCACTTTATTTACACTAAATAGTTCTTAATGATATCATTTTATGGTTTTAAATTCACCTTACCAAAATTTTGCTTTACAAAGTTAATGTCACTTCACACCTTGGATGGGAACAGTAAGTTGTTACTCTCAGGTGGCACAGAAGAAATCTGAATGAGGAGTTTAAGGTTGTTATAATGTAAGGAGTTTAAGGAATTTTATATGCATTTCCGTCAGGATCTGAGCCATTTTCAGCTGTAATTTTGCTATTCTAAATTAAAGATATAAGCAGGTTGAAGAACTTTGGCTGAGGGTGGTTGTTTCTCCCTCGTGACAGATGGAAAACCTTTGACTCTGGATGAAATATGGAGCAGTGTCCATGCATCCTACCAGGCTCGTCTGCAAGAGGGACCCTGGGACACCATCACACAGCAGGTGAGAATCCACAGCTCCTTCCCCAGTGCGTGAACCCTCAGTGGCCTAATTCCCCTCCTGGACACAAATGAAATACATACAAGTCTCACTCAGGTTGTCCTAAGCCACTTGCCAGCAAGAGTTTCAGCCCTGGATTTTGAAGGATATAGAAATGTTCACCGTTTAAGGTTCTGATTTGACATTATCTCACATTTAAAATACTTTCCCAAAGCCAATCCTGAAAAATTCAGGCAATTTTATGAGTTAATCGTGGATTTGGGTAAAGGCAAAACAGACTTTTGTGTAATTTGTGTAAGTGAAATATATTAGTGTTACATGTAGTGGATAATCTCATAATCAAATTACCACAAAAAAGAGTAATTTTCAGTTTTAAATGCACCTGAAATCCTTAGGATTGAGGGAGAGAAAACTCATCACATAATCTCGGTGCTGTCTGATAGTGAGACTTGGTTCAGACCTCGGTTGGTTGCCGTGGTGTCTTTGCTCTGCTCCAGGTCTCCAGTGAAAGTCTGGATAAAGAATAAAGACTCTCCGGGGGAGAATTTTGGTCCCTTCAGACCAAGATACCCATGTGCCTTTTCTTCTGTCCCTTTCCTTCCCTGATTTTCTGACTTTAACTGTTTCCAGGTACACAGGTCTCTTCCCACAGACTCAATAGGGACATAACCCCCACTGAGTTCTACAGCTGGTAGTAGATAGTACAGTTTAATTACAGGGTGCCTATGTGTCGATGGTGCTCAGCCACGGGAACACAAGCAGAATTGTTGTTTCTTATTATTATTGACAAGTGATGTCCCTCAGGGGTCAGTGCTGGGACTGACACTGTTCAACATCTTTGTTGGTGATAGGGACAGTGGATTGAGGCTCCCTCAACAAGCTCACTGACCACACCAAGCTGTGTGGGGCAGTCACAGCTGGAGGGAAGGGATGGGGCACTCCGAGGGACCTTGACAGGCTTGAGAGGTGGAACAATACAAACCTCATGGAGTTCAACAAAATTAAGTGCAAGGTCCTACATTCTGAGTCAGAACAATCCCAGCCATGACTCAAGGCTCTTGGAGAAGTCATTGAGAGCAGCCCTGGGAGAAAGACTAGGGGGTGACGGAGGATGAGAAACTCCGCATGAGCTGCAGTGTGAGCTCACAGCCCAGAAACCAGCTATGTCCTGGGCTGCAGTCAAAGGA